TATGTGGGGTAAAAATGGGAGCTCATAACCAACTTGAATCAAAGTGTGAAATATGATATATCAAGAACTATGTAATGTTTTGAACAGCCAACAATAAAAAATTTAAAAAAAAAGAAACATACAAAAGAGAAATCATTATATTATTACATTTACATAAAGATCAAACACAGATAGAACTTAACCATAATGTTAGAGATCTAAAGAGTGGGTTACTCTTGGGATGATGAGTTACTAGAGGGGAAAAAAATGGACCTTCAGGAAAGCTGGTAGCATTTTCTTTCTTTATCTAGGCATTTGTTATTCAGATGTGTCCACTTTGTGAAAATCCATCAAGTCTTCTACTCATGATATGTATATAATATGTACAATATACTTTTCTGAGTACATTCTATAAATTTTAAGGTACAATAAAATGTTAAAGAAACAAAAAAAAATGAAGTCAAACAACAACAAGTGCTGGCGAGGATGTGGGGAAAAGGGTACGCTTGTACATTGCTGGTGGATCTGCAAATTGGTGCGGCCAATTTGGAAAGCAGTATGGAGATTCCTGGGAAAGCTGGGAATGGAACCACCATTTGACCCAGCTATTGCCCTTCTCGGACTATTCTCTGAAGACCTTAAAAGAGCATACTACAGAGATACTGCCACATCGATGTTCATAGCAGCACAATTTACAATTGCTAGACTGTGGAACCAAAGATGCCTTTCAATAGATGAATGGATAAAAAAAATGTGGCATTTATACACCATGGAGTATTACGCAGCACTAAAAATGACAAAATCATTGAATTTGCAGGGAAACGGATGGCACTAGAGCAGATTATGCTAAGTGAAGCTAGCCAATCCCTAAAAAACAAATTCCAAATATCTTCTTTGATATAATGAGAGCAACTAAGAACAGAGCAGGGAGGAAGAGCAGGAGGATAAGGTTAACATTAAACAGAGACATGAGGTGGGAGGGAAAGGGAGAAAAAAGGGAAATTGCATGGAAATGGAAGGAGACCCTCATTGTTATACAAAATTACATGTAAGAGGTTGTGAGGGGAATGGGAAAATAAACAAGGAGAGAAATGAATTATAGTAGATGGGGTAGAGAGAGAAGATGGGAGGGGAGGGGAGGGGGGATACTTGAGGATAGGAAAGGTAGCAGAATACAACAGTAACTAATGTGGCATTATGTAAAAATGTGGATGTGTAACCGATGTGATTCTGCAATCTATATTTGGGGTAAAAATGGGAGTTCATAACCAACTTGAATCTAATGTTTTGAACAGCCAACAATAAAAAATTAAACAAAAAATAAATAAATAAATAAATATATTTATTTTGACTTCTTAAATTTAAAACCAAATTTATTATAGTACATTGATATATGAGACAGGGCTCATATTTAAGATGTACAGTTTTATGAGTGTGGATACATGCATACAGCCATAAAAAGACCACTAAGCTAGGTGGTCTCCTCTGTTTATATTCCTTAGGCTTCCTTTTTTCTCCTTCCCTCCACCCCTGTCTTTCTCCTTCCTGAGTACTTGACTAGGCCTGGGAAATCCTTGTTGGGATGGACAAAAGATGGGAACCAGTGGACTGAAGGGGGAAGGGCAGGATGGCACAGGTGAGGGCACATTAACAACCTTATCACTCACTGTAGGCAGGGGCAATTCCTGGGACAGTTTACCTTGGCATCAGGTTGGAGCAGGGACAGTTTCTTGATAAGGGTGGAGGAAGGGCTCTGAAGGAATTAACATTTCAATCTTTGGGGGACTGTCTCCAACTTCCCCAACTCACTCAAAATTGGCCTCCTTGATCCAACCTGACTCGATTTATCTATTGCCTGTCTAATTCTGGCTTCAATTCTAAGAAAGGAAAAATTCCTTAATAAAAAATTAGAAATATAGTATGTGCAGAAATTGGGTGTCTAGAGTTGATTAACCAAATCAGTTATCAGACATAGCATTTTTCCAAAATAAAGCTAATTTTTTTGTTCATATTTTGTTTGGAGTTATTTATTTGCTTTTTTCTTATATATTGACAAATTGTGGTTGTTTGGGATTATGGGTTAGAAAATAAGGTTATGATTCTTTTATTCAATGTGGAATGATTAAATCAAGCTAATTAACATGAGTACTATTGTAAATATTTAACATATTTTGTGATGAGAACATTCAGAATTCACTCTCATAATGATACTAAAATGTATGAAATCTAAGTATTAGCTATATTCACCAAGCTATGCAATAGATATCAAAAGAAAAATGTCTACCATTCCTCTGATCTGCCTGAGGCTGTGTGCTTTTTGGTTATCAACTCCTCATTTCTCCCACCCTACCACAAACTTAGTAACCATTATCAAATATTTTGGAATCTACATACAACTGGCAATAATTATTGTTTGTTTTTCTTTTTGGTTTTTTCAATTAGCATGGAACACTGGTCTGTGGCCAAGCTTAAGTACAGTAAAATGCCAAACTTAAGTGCAGTAAAAATACTTTAAAGGAAGAGGATAAGGAAGGAACTTAGAGGTACATATTCCATCAAATAAAAGATGTAACCCCAGAAAAGGCTCTGGAGGTGTTTTACCTAATTTTAGTTTTTTACTTGTCATTATAAGTGATTATTGTAAAGTTTCAGTAAACTTACTATTCAATTCACTTCATAAATTCAAGTCCAGGCTTATTAACCAAATTGACCAATGACTTATTTTTCTGCACTTAGTTTCGTCACATTTATTTCATTTTCTGCTTACATGGATAGAGCTATATCAAACTTAAAAGTATATAGAATCTTTTCTTTTCTTTTCTTTCTTTCTTTCTTTTGGTATCAGGGATTGAACCCAGGGGTGATTAATCACTGAGTCACAGTGATGAACCCAACCTATTTCCATCTTAAGATTGGGAGCCATCTCATCACAAAGTCATAAAAAGTTAATTTCTGTTTTACTATAAATTATTGCGATTTCTAAATTTCTTTGGAATTCTTGCCCATGCTCTGAACTCACCCATGCCTAGCTTTCCCTGACCAGATAACAACCCCGTCTGAAACCTCAGCTGTACCTCATAAATTCTGATGTTTGAATCTGAATTTACTCCCTAACTTGAAATATCATGCCATATAGATAATGAACCTACTATTTCCTTTGTATTATGCCTGTCAAAATTCTATTATCTGGAAATTCTCAAGACACCCACCTTTGCAACTTTTTTTGCTATAAAACTGTGTTCCTGGAAAGATGGGGTACTGATCTCTAGTCTGGGATTTCTGGTAAGATAGTTGCTGGCTGGCCTTTGTGTACACAAATACAAGCTTGCTTTAATTTGATTTAAAATTGGAGTCAGTGATCTTTTCTTTGAATGGGGAGCAACACTCAGCCCTTTTTATATTTTATTTTGCGAAGGGGTCTGGCTAAGTTGCTTCGGGCCTTGCTAAATTGCTGAGACTGGCTTTGAACTTGTGATCTCCCTGCCTCATCTTCTCGAGCTGCTGGGATTACAGATGTGCAGTTATAGGCATGAAGATTATCGTTGCACACACCTGTAATTCCAGTGGCTATGGAAGCTGAGGTCAGGGGATCACAAGTTCAAAGCCAGCCTTAGCAATTTAGCAAGGAACTGTTTCAAATAAAAATAATAACAATAATGAAAAAGGCTAATGATGTGGCTCAGAGATTAAATGCTTCCCCCAAAAGTATATTGAATCTCATTCTCAAGACCCATTTGTATCTTTCCATTTCTGAATTTGAAAATGCATTCACTAGAATTGTCCATTTTGATGTCTTTCCTTCCATACAGTACCTCAGCATCAATCTTACTTACTTTTGTTTATCAGTCTCCTTCATAGAGCTCTATCTTTTTTCGTACAATCTATTTCTCACTCCCCAATTCCAGTATAGACAGGCCCTTCTGCCTGGAATGCTCTTCTCCTCTTGGAGGAGGCATGGAGTGGTGCTGCAGAGGGTGTCAAACATGACAATGTAGTATATGACCAAGAGAATGAAGCAGACCAGGAAGGGAAGCAAAAATGTCTAATTCTGCAGCATTTTAAATGCCTGGGCTTATGCATCTCCTCTTCTGAGTTCACTATACTTAACACAGGTAACTCTGTTAGGTCATCTTCCACAGGGTAGGACCAGAAATATATCATTAACAGTTTATCTATTGCTTAGAAAACAGTGTGGTACATAGTAAATATTTAAAAGCAAAGAATTTCTAAATTGAATTGAATTTAAAAAAACAGTCATGTTTTTTGGTAGAACATGAAAGGGTAAAAGAGACATCATTTTAAATTTTAATTGATTGGATATTCTTAGAGAACTATTTGTGCAGTCAAGCAAATGTTTGAATTTTTTTAAATTTTTTTGCTTAGGGCTTTTCTAAATTGCTGAAGCTGGCTTTGAACTTCTGATTTTCTGCCTTAGCCTCCTGAGGCACTAGGATTACAGGTGTGTGCCTCAACAATGAGCAGTTGTTTAAAGTATTAATTTCTAAATAAGTTCATATGTTTTATAAGAATGGATAGTTATTTGAACCAGAGAGTAAAAAAAATTCACTAATTTCAATGCTGAACTTTACTAAATAACCTCCACAAAGTAAACATAGAGTGATAAAAATGTTTTTCAACTTTGCACAAGTTAAATAAACATGATTTTTAAAAACAGATGCCAAACACCATCTTCTGTGTTATATTGAAAGTGTTCTAGTTTTACATATTAATACATTGAAATGTCATACAATTTTAACATGGAGACATTATGTTTACATATTGCAAACATTTTAAGACAAGCAGGTACATGAAAAAATATATTCATATCTAGGCATTATGTCTTTATTATGAACATTTCAATATAAATCTTAAAGAAAATATCTTAAAAATTCCAGTAATTTGGAGGGAATGATATTAATAATATTTTATATTTTCATTTTAATTATTTGAACAAGTATACAATAATGAAAACATAAAAGTAGCAGAAGAAATACACAAAAATTAGAAATCACAAGCAATATTTACCTGTCCAGACAGAAAACTATGTTCTGACTGCACAATCTCTTAATGGCTCCTTTCATTTCCTGATTCCTGAGAGTATAAATAATTGGATTAAGAAAGGGGGTAATTAAAATGTAAAACACAGACAGAAACTTATCTACAGAATAACTATTGAATGGAAAAGAATAGATGAAGATATCGGGGCCAAAGGAGAGGATCACTACAGTGATGTGAGCAGAGAGTGTGGACACAGCCTTGGAGGAGGCCCTGGAGGAGTGCTGCCAGAGGGTGACGAACATGATGATGTAGGATATGACCAAGAGGATGAAGCAGACCAGGGACAGGAGCCCACTGTCCACAATCACCAGGAGCTCCAGGACATAGGTGTCAGTGCAGGCCAGCTTGATGACCAGAGGGAGGTCACAGAAGATGCTATCCACAACATTGGGACCACAGAAAGGTAAACCCACTAGGAAAACTATTTGGCTTGTGGTATGAATGAATCCAACCACCCATGACAGCACCATAAACCCAATGAGTATCCTGAGGTTCATGATGGTCTGGTAGTGCAAGGGCTTGCATATGGCCACATACCTGTCGATGGCCATAGCTATCAAGAGAGACATCTCACCACCCCCAAAGAAGTGCATAAAGTACATCTGGACCATGCAGCTCCACAATGAGATGGTTTTGCATTTTCTGAGTAAGTCTGCAATCACTTTGGGAGTTGCAACAGAGGAAAGACATAGGTCAAAAAATGATAGATTTGCCAGAAGGAAGTACATGGGTGAGTGAAGATGGTTATCAACTATCACAGAGATCACTATGAGGAGGTTCCCAAATAAATGGCTACATAGACAAGAAAGAAGATGGCAAGAAAAAGTAACTGAAGTTCTTGAGAAATGGAAAGTCCCAGCAGGATGAACTCAGAAATACTTGAATTTTTGTTTAGGATAGCCATTTATCAATTTTCATGTGTTTCTTAGATGTCATCTGGAAGGTGGAAAAAACATAAAAAATGATAAGGACTAACAAGACACAAAGACTTATCTTTATTTAAACATTTTATTTGATATTTAGGGAGCCAACCCTTTTGGTAAGGTGACTGCTTTGTAGGTGTTCCTTGGTATTTTGTAGTCTGAGTTATTTCACAGAGCAGAAAGTGAGTAGAAACTGTGGTGGATACTACTCCACATAGATTAAATTTGTCTATTTCCCTGGGGCCACAGAAAGGCAACTGCACTATCACAGCCAGGTGACTCATGGCATGCACAAAGCCAGTAGTCCAGGAAGAAACCACCAGCCCAGTGCACCTTTGCAGGCTCATAATGGTGGAGTAATGAAGTGGTTTGCAGATGGCCACATAGCGGTCATAGGCCATGGACACCAGAAGCACCATCTCACTTGCTGCAATGAAATGGGCAAAAAAGATTTGGCACATGCAACCTGCAAAGGAAATGGTTTTGTTCTCTCTGAGAAATTCTGTGATCATCTTAGGAGTGGTGTCTGAGGAAAGCCACATATCAACATGCCGCAGTCCGGCTGCAGCAAAATAACCTACCGGGGGGTGACGAGCAACTTGTGTACAATGATACAGCAGGAGTGGGAACCCTTTATTGTAGGACAGGAGGGGTATATATACATTACACACAGCTTATCTTAATTACATAAACTAGATACAGCAGTCAACCAATAAGGAATCTCCACACTTAATGGCTCGCTGGCGTTACTTCACAAACCACTCCCTCTGGCAAAATGCCAGGTGCCACCTTGACTTGTTTACAGACCTTAATATGAACAAAGGACAGGTTGGCCAAAAAGAAGTACATGGGGGAATGGAGATGAGGGTCAGTGATGATTAAGGTCACAATGACAATATTTCCAGATACAATGATCACGTAAAGCAGCAAAAATATCATGAAGAGTAAGACCTGCATACTCCATGAGTGGCCAAGTCCCAGAAGCACAAATTCTGACACTGTGGACTGATTTCCTCCATCCATTTTATTGAGTATGCCCTCTAAAATAACCTGGAGAAAGTAGATTAGCAGTTAGTGGGAGGAGAAAGGAGACTAAATGTTTAGAATTTGATATTCACATTGAAATTCTTCATATCTAACATTAAAAAGTACGATTGCGAGGAGAAATCTTGGTTAAATATGAATAGCATCATATCTCCAAAAGAATCTAATTGTGAACCTGACTTTCCTGCATGTTAGTTGGAATTTTTATCCAAATGATTTGCCTAGAAAGCTCTCTTACAAGAAAGGAGTGTGGAAAGCAGAGAAGCAAGGTGAAATGCTAAACAATGATTGTGGTTTCACCCGGTATTGTGGTTATGTACACAACTAATTGAAAAAAAAACCTGAGCCTGAAACTCAGAATCATCACATTTTATATAAAAAATATTAAATCATGCTGGGGAAGATAATGGAGAACTGATATTGCAATCCAGCACAAATGATTTGACATACTCTTACTGTTTCTATGTCCTATGTTTAATGATTTAATGTCCTGATAAAATGTCCTCTTAAAAGATGATAAAATTAAAATTTTACTTCTCTTTCTAAAACAAGTCTTGAGCCAACCTTCATGGGAGAAGCTGAATTGAGGGTCATATAATAAAACTTTGGCATATAATTTGGATGCAAAACTAGGCATAAAATTTAACAGCATTTAAAATCTATCAGAAGATAGAATGTATTTTGTAAGGTGAGTGGGTTAGGAAAAAAAATATGTTCACTATAGAGTCACATAGAAGTGAATGAAACAAAGTCGATGGGAACTCAAACTTAGATTCAAATATAATGAGCTCTGATGTTCCAGATATCTTAAGGTTATCAACAAAATACATTTGCCTTAAATTGTATCAGTGGATGCTAGAAAATCATAGGCTTTAAAACATTAATTTCTTGACCATCAGAAATACAAATCTCTCTCTCTCTCTTCTGTTTTTTTTTTCTCTCTCTCTCTTTATGTATCCATCTCTCTATATATGTATATATACATATATACATACATTTATATGTTTACATATACATATAATAGTTACAACATTTTTATTGCTTTCTACATAAATATATATACATATACGTATGCATGTATATGTGTGTATATATGTGTGTGTGCATATATATATATATATATATATATATATATATTTATAAATTGGGAATAAATTGCATTTGCTTACATATGTAAGTAAATTGCACCTTTGGAATGTTAGTACTGAATGAATGTAAAATTAAACCTTCAAGAATAAACACCAATATTGCTTAGCTCAATCTCTTAGCAAATGACAATAGTTCTCAAGCTGGACAATACTTCTCAAGCTCTTAGCAAATGACAATACTTCCCTCGGGGGAAATAACCCATTTTATGCTCAAGCTGGATGGTGGGACCAAAATATCCCTCCACCATGATTATTTCTTGGCATTGTTTTTCTCATCTTTTTCTAGCCTTTAAAATGTCACGTTTGGACCAAGGAGAGCAGGTGAGTAACAAAATCCATTACCTTAGTGTGACTAATTTTGCCTTAACTATTACTGAGGACTCAGAAGTACAGATTAAAAAGAGAAAAATTGCAAAATCAAACAAAAATTTGCTAGGGAAAAGGAGATATATGATAATAGTCTCATAAGTTGCAAATATACCTTATATTCTGTCATAGAGATTTACCAAATTTCTAAGGAAAATAAATCAATATTACAACTAATTGATTTATGCCCATTGCAAAATTTGAACAAATTGAACTTTTAACCAAAATTTAGTTTCTTTTTACAGAATATTTTCTTTTTTTTTTTAATTTTTTATTGTTGGTTGTTCAAAACATTACAAATTTCTTGACATATCATATTCCACACTTTGATTCAAATGGGTTATGAACTCCCACCTTCACCCCATACACAGATTGCAGAATCACATCAGTTACACATCCATTGATTTACATATTGCCATACTAGTGTCTGTTGTGCTCCGCTGCCTTTCCCATCCTCCACCATCCCCCCTCCCCACCTCTCCCCTCCCCTCCCCTCCTCTCACTCTACACCCTCCACTGTATAACCCTGAGGGTCTCCTTCCATTTCCATGCAATTTCCCTTCTCTCTCCCTTTCCCTCCCACCTCTCATCCCTGTTAAATGTTAATCTTCTTCTCATGCTCCTTGTCCCTACTCTGTTCTTAGTTACTCTCTTTATATCAAAGAAGACATTTGGCATTTGTTTTTTAGGGATTGGCTAGCTTCACTTAGCATAATCTGCTCTAATGCCATCCATTTTCCTGCAAATTCTATGATTTTGTCATTTTTTAATGCAGAGTAATACTCCATTGTGTATAAATGACACATGTTTTTTATCCATTCATCTATTGAAGGGCATCTAGGTTGGTTCCACAGTCTTGCTATTGTGAATTGTGCTGCTATGAACATTGATGTAGCAGTGTCCCTGTAGCATGCTCTTTTTAGGTCTTTAGGGAATAGACCGAGAAGGGGAATAGCTGGGTCAAATGGTGGCTCCATTCCCAGCTTTCCAATAAATCTCCATACTGCTTTCCAAATTGGCTGCACCAATTTGCAGTCCCACCAGCAATGTACAAGTGTACCCTTTTCCCCACATCCTCGCCAGCACTTGTTGTTGTTTGACTTCCTAATGGCTGCCAATCTTACTGGAGTGAGATGGTATCTTAGGGTGGTTTTGATTTGCATTTCTCTGACAGCTAGAGATGGTGAGCATTTTTTCATGTACTTGTTGATTGACTGTATGTTCTCCTCTGAGAAGTGTCTGTTCAGGTCCTTGGCCCATTTGTTGATTGGGTTGTTTGTTCTCTTATTGTCTAATTTTTTGAGTTCTTTGTATACTCTGGATATTAGGGCTCTATCTGAAGTGTAAGGAGTAAAGATTTATTCCCAGGGTGTAGGCTCCCTATTTACCTCTCTTATTGTTTCTTTTGCTGAGAAAGAACTTTTTAGTTTGAGTAAGTCCCATTTGTTGATTCTAGTTATTAACTTTTGTGCTATGGGTGTCCTATTGAGGAATTTGGAGCCCGACCGCAAAATATGTAGATCGTAGCCAACTTTTTCTTCTATCAGACGGCGTGTCTCTGATTTGATATCAAGCTCCTTGATCCATTTTGAATTCAATTTTGTGCATGGCTAGAGAAAGGGATTCAGTTTCATTTTGTTGCATATGGATTTCCAGTTTTCCCAGCACCATTTGTTGAAGATGCTATCCTTCCTCCATTGCATGCTTTTAGCCCCTTTATCAAATATAAGGTAGTTGTAGTTTTGTGGATTGGTTTCTGTGTCCTCCATTCTGTACCATTGGTCCACCCGCCTGTTTTGGTACCAGTACCATGCTGTTTTTGTTACTCTTGCTCTGTAGTATAGTTTGAAGTCTGGTATCGCTATAACGCCTGATTCACACTTCCTGCTTAGCATTGTTTTTGCTATTCTGGGTCTTTTATTTTTCCATATGAATTTCATGATTGCTTTCTCTATTTCTACAAGAAATGCCGTTGGGATTTTGATTGGCATTGCATTAAACCTATAAAGAACTTTTGGTAATATCGCCATTTTGATGATGTTAGTTCTGCCTATCAATGAACAGGGTATATTTTTCCATCTTCTAAGATCTTCTTCTATTTCTCTCTTTAGGGTTCTGTAGTTTTCATTGTATAAGTCTTTCACCTCTTTTGTTAGGTTGATTCCCAAGTATTTTATTTTCTTTTGAGGATATTGTGAATGGAGTGGTTTTCCTCATTTCCATTTCAGAGGATTTGTCGCTGATATACAGGAATGCCTTTCATTTATGTGTGTTGATTTTATATCCTGCCACTTTGCTGAATTCATTTATTAGCTCTAATAGTTTCTTTGTAGAGCCTTTTGGGTCTGCTAGGTATAGAATCATATCATCTGCAAATAGTGATAATTTAAGTTCTTCTTTTCCTATTTTTATGCCTTTAATTTCTTTCGTCTGTCTAATTGCTCTGGCCAGTGTTTCGAGAACTATGTTGAACAAAAGTGGAGAGAGAGGGCATCCCTGTCTTGCTCCAGATTTTAGAGGGAATGCCTTCTGTTTTTCTCCATTCAGAATGATGCTAGCCTGAGGCTTAGCATAAATTGCTTTTACAATATTGAGGTATGTTCCTGTTATCCCTAGTTTTTCTAGAGTTTTGAACATAAAGGGATGCTGTACTTTGTCGAATGCTTTTTCCGCATCTATCGAGATGATCATATGGTTCTTATTTTTAAGTCTGTTCATGTGGTGAATAACATTTATTGATTTCCGTATATTGAACCAGCCTTGCATCCCAGGGATGAATCCTACTTGATCATGGTGCACAATTTTTTTGATATGTTTTTGTATCCGATTCGCCAGAATTTTATTGAGGATTTTTGCATCTAGGTTGATTAGAGATATTGGTCTGTAGTTTTCTTTCTTTGAAGTGTCTTTGTCTGGTTTAGGTATCAGGGTGATGTTGGCCTCATAGAATGAATTTGGAAGTTCTCCCTCTTTTTCTATTTCCTGAAGTCGCTTGAAAAGTATTGGTATTAGTTCCTCTTTAAAGGTTTTGTAAAACTCTGCTGTATACCCATCTGGTCCTGGGCTTTTCTTGGTTGGTAGTCTTTTGATGGTTTCTTCTATTTCCTCAATTGATATTGGTCTGTTTAGGTTGTCTATATCTTCCTGACTCAATCTGGGCAGATCATATGACTTAAGAATTTTATCGATGCCTTCACTATCTTCTAATTTATTGGAGTAGAAGGATTCAAAATAATTTTTGATTATCTTCTGTATTTCTGAAGTGTCTGTTGTGATGTTGCCTTTTTCATCCCGTATGCTAGTAATTTGAGTTCTCTCTCTTCTTCTCTTTGCTAGAATGGCTAAGGGTCTGTCGATTTTGTTTATTTTTTCAAAGAACCAACTTTTAGTTTTGTCAATTTTTTCAATTGTTTCTTTTGTTTCGATTTCATTAATTTCAGCTCTGATTTTAATTATTTCTTTCCT